ATATCGTGATTCATATCCAAGAACATCATCGGTACGATGGAACTTTGTTATTTCACAATTAATACAATTTGCAACAACATCTTTATTTGCTTATTATTTATTTTATCGATTTTGTTTACCTGTATTTCGTCATTTTAATTCTGAACATGTTACATTGAAAATATTTGTTCTATCAATTCTGAACTGTACTTTACCAGGAGCACTACTTCTATTTTGTAGTAAGTTTATAATATAATATAAAACATAAAGTCAAGAATTAAACTGATACAAAAGAAAAAATCAAAGATAATAAACTGTCGTGTCGATTCTTATCTCTTTAGAAAACTCATTCCTGATTTTTTGAGATTTGCTATTAGCGAAATTCCTATGAGACTAAAATGTGAAACACACGATGTAGCTCCTGGTGTCAATAATCAAAGGATGATTAAATAGTTTTCATCATACTTAAAACTCGTCACTTGTCTTAATTCTGATTTATTTTTTCACTACTTGATAATCTAATATATGTTTTAGACATAACATCTTGTAGAACACCAGGGGCTCATTGTCAATTAGCAAGGTTGTTCCCTTGAATATCTTATTTTTTTATATGCAGGCGTCTGTTGTATATTGACGATGTTTTAACAATACTCAGTGGTGCTATTAAAATTTTTTGTGCACTAACAGTCAGCATAGCATCCTTGATGAATTGATATAAATGATTCTTTTATGAATGGGAAAAAAATTGTTGACCTCCAGACTCCTGGCGGGGGGGAGGGAGCGGAGTACGAGGATATGGAAAAAATTGTTTTTGAAATGAATATGAGATATAGATTCTTCTTGAGTTTCATGCATAAATCAAGCCTGTATATTTGGAATAAAAATTTGAAAAAGAAATAAGAAAACTAAGAGACTTCCTTCCTGAAATGCCATAGCCGTACTTCCCCCAGGAGTCCAGAGGTCAAAAAAACTCCACTCATAAAAAAGTTATTGATATCAGTACATCAAGGATGTTATGCTAGTAATTAGTACATACAAATTTTTAATATGACTATTGAGTATTATTAAAATATCGTTAATATACAGGCCCCTGCATATAGAAAAATACGTTACTCTAGGAAATAATTTTGCTAATTGACAATGAGTTCCTGCTGTTCTAAAAGATGTTATGTCTAAAACATATCGAGCTCGATAGGGTGCAATTTTCGAGAAAATTTCACACAGCTACTCACTTGCTCTGTGGCATAGAGTTCAACACATTATCAAGTAGTCTAAAAGTGACCTAGAAATAAGAAAAGGAACTGTTGATCATAGAAGATCTATATCTATGAGTACCATATATATTCCTCAAAGATTATAAGCAGTGTATGAACTCTTAGGACATCAAAATTTTCATCAAATTTGATTTCTTATATAGCATTTGATGTGCCGTAAATCGCTCTGAAAACCACATGTATGATATCCTGGTTCAATATAAGTCATGAAATCCAGCAATTTCCTTTGACATGTTGAAGCTTTGCAGTGTTAGTTGCCGTATTCTTTTCTTCAAATTTCGGAGAGAAGCTATTTATATATTCTCGGAGAAAATTGAATCTTAAGCTCAAGTCCATCTAATAACAACTAATTGGGATATTAAGTAAATATTGAGATTAGCCTTTATTCTGTTGTATCTGTAAGTTTTTGAAAATTGAAAAATATTATGTTGAGTAGAAACGTGTGGGTTAGGATTAGACTAGATTTACTGAAACTACGATCGGAACTTTAAAAAAAAACTTGATCCCGCACATTTTCAATGTTGAGAGATTTGACAAGTGTATATGTAGTTTCCTTCATTTGAAAACAAATTTAGTACTTTATGAATAAGTACTGAATCTTTTTTTCTATTTTTTTTTCTAGCATTCTATGGTTTTCTTCATTGTTGGCTTAATGCATTTGCTGAAATGCTACGTTTTGCGGACCGACAATTCTATAGTGTATATAACGAATTGACTTTATTCTATCGAGTTATAATTTGTTTTATTTTAGGATTGGTGGACAGCAACATCATGGAGTAGTTATTATCGAACATGGAATATAGTTAGTTGATATTTCCTGTAGAAAAATTGAACATTTCTTTTAACTATCATTATTTAGGTTGTTCATGATTGGCTTTATACATATGTTTATCGCGATTGTCATAAGGTAATGAATTTCAAATAAAAAAAAAATGCTGTTTTTTTCATCATATATAAATAGTTACTTGGTGTTAAATATCGTTTGGTTTCAATGTATGCAGTCATTTTCCTTAGTGCGTGTGTTCATGAATATATCATATCATTAGCATTTGGCTATTTTTATCCTATACTTTTTATTCAATTTGCTATTCTTGGATGTAAGTATTTTTGAATATTTTTGCATAAGGAAAAAAAACTTATCACTTTTTTTCTAAAAAAAACAGTTATTTCAATGCTTATATTACCCCAACGTACACAAAACAATGCATTTAATGTTTTTATATGGGCATCATTATTTGTTGGACTTGGTATGCAAATGTGTTTATATTCAATTGAATGGTATGCTCGACAAAATTGTCCACGTTCTGTGGTAAGTAAATTTTCCTTGAGGAAAAAAAAGAAACAGGTTTGATATTTTTTTATGAAAAACAAAAATTTATTTAGAGTGGGGCATTGGATTATTTTATACCTCGATCATTGTTTTGCCGTGAAAGTGATATTGTAAAACCTTCCATATCAAATCATTTACCAAATTTTATACACGATTTATAATTATTCCAACTGATATTTGTGATAAGAAATTGATATCTTTTGTTTATCGACTGATCATAATTTGTTCCTGTTGTGTTTTGTTTTTGTTCCTAGTCTGTCTTTCGTAGTCATTTTAACATATGTGATTGTTATTCATTTTGAGCTATTTATAAAATGATTTTGACAAAACTAGTATCAAAGATTGTATTTATAGTTTTAAGGTTACTTTTTCTTTATATATTGTATGATTTTTCAATATGTACTATGGCTATTATCTACATCCGTTTGAAATTTCGTGATGTCTATTATAGTTTTAAAAGACAAAATATGATCGAAATTTCGTGTGTGTTTTTTTATATGCTTTTCCTGTTTTGTTTTTTGTTATAATAGCCATTCATTTGACGTCTACACATTTAGCAACTTTAAATAAAAATTTACAAAAGAAAAAAAAAACATGATGATACTTTTGCATGTAATTAACTCGATACCTTTCATCGGCTCATTAATGCTTCTATTATCTGCCTGTCATCACTATTCATAATCAGTGCCGGACAATGATGAAAGCCTTCATCATAGAACGAAAAATAGACTAGTGGGATTTTCTTTTGTTAAGCAATAATCGGTTACTATATAAGAGAACAATGAAAGAAGGGTATGATTTATACTGACTGTTTCATTTTTTCCTTCTTTTTTTTTTTTTTTTTTTTTATAAAGAATGCATTGAACTGGAGGCAAGGATTTACTTGAACGTCATATATCAATCATTGTCTTTCTTTATATCTATGATAATGTAAACAGACATCTTTCTATCTTTTTATATAATGATATAAGAATCTAGAGGTCACATAGTCCCCGGCGGGTTAGCATGATTTGCCGTTTTTTTTTTCTCTTTTAATTTATTAGCATTGTTACTATTACATGAGAATCAAGTAAGTTATGTTGAGAAAGAGAGACACACTGGCCAAGGTCTTCTGCTTTCCCATATGCATTTATCTTGTTCATCTGTTCTTTGTCTACCCACCATCGAGGGCACGTATACGTCGTCGCTTTCATATTTGCTTGCCATATGTCTTAGGACATTTAGAAAAAAAACTTTTTTTTTCTTCCTGTATCGTTCTTTTTTTTCTCCTTCGAGTCTGTCAAAAAATTAGGGGATCAACAGCTTGCTGTTTCTTTCTCGTTTGCGTTGCATTGGTTGATGTTCAAGGAGAAAGAGAAAAGAAAAACGTACAGGCTTATGCGTTGATGGTACCGCAATGGTGAAGAAAAGGAACAAGGAGAATATATTACATGTCTTATGTAAGAGAACAGGCTATTCTTTCTTTCACACTTATAGAACAGAATAAAAAAGAAAAAGAAAAAAAAAGAGACAGCCGTATGTAAAACAGAAACCACTGCAAGCTTGCACATACATACACATGCGTTTAGCGATAGGAAAAAGAGAGACAGAGAAAAAAACGAGAGAAGCAGAGACCAAACTTTATTCATTTATTCATAGAAGAAAAAAAAACCAAGATGCACAAGAAGAAAGAAAAAATCTCTCGTTTTTTTTGCAAGATTTTTAGGGTCATTTTTTCTTTACTTTCTTGCCTATATACTTGTTCGTTGTACTCTCATTTCTTATTGTCATCATCAATGGCGTTCTTTTTTTCCTGGCCTACTTCACTAGTCGACAGAGACATCATTGTATCAAACAACATATATAATAAAGTAATGGGAGAGCGAACGAAAAACACCTTCACATACACATACCTCGGAATCGATTCCTTGACAAGGTATATTCATGTATACACATATTTGTTAAATATACAGAGTGTAATGACGGTAAGTTAAGTAAGGGTGAGTTAATTATAAAAAAACCTCAGTTTTTTATTATTACGAGTGGTTATTGACCTTTGCCGATAGATGTATTCACCTTGACTTGATTCGTGTGAAACTTCACAATAGTATATTCTCTTTTTCTTCTTCACATTTTTCTTTTCACTGTTCAAATCGACATAAAACGCTTATCAGTAGTAGTCAATGTATATGAAATAGGAGACTTTTATACATTGAATGTTATAGTACTATAAATTTCCTCGTTTACTTACTTTCTTCTTCATTTTTCTTACATTTAAGATTGTTGTCGGGTTCCATCATCGACTGACAGCTAGATGAGAGTGAAAATGAAAGTAGGTTTTAAACATGTGTCGTTACCTATGATTTCAATTTTGGCCAATTTGCTCGAAAGGCCTCTATAAAACGAGCAAAAAACCAAACAATATATAAGACGAAATCATGAATGATACTAGCAATATGAACAGTGGTAATACCGGTGGCGTATGTTCATCGTGTCTTAAAGAAATGCCTATTGTTATGGCATCCTCATCAAATAATCCCTTATCTAAACTCTGCTCGAATTGTATGACAGAATTTGTTGATCAACAACGTTTTTCTTCTGATATGAACAATAAATTTCCACTTTTACCTCCCACACAACCATTATTAAATAATCAACAACAGCAACAACAACAACAACAAGCTCAATCAATATTTCAACCGCATTTTTCATCATTACCATCTTCATCAGCATCATCAACTTCATCATCTGTATCATCAAATCGTCGTTTAAGTGCATTTGATCCATTTGCATCCGGTAATATTTCTCAAAACCTAATGCACCATCCATTAACAGATTTAAATAATACATATTCTCCATTAATATCAACAAATTTTAAAACTGATTTTGATTTGACAACAGCAACAACAACAACAAATGATTTTATGCGTTTTTTTCCTAATTTTCTTAATGGAAATAATCATAATAGTGATCGTGATAGTCCAGCAAGTAGTATTCAAAGTAATGACTTATCTCAAACATTATTTTCTCGTCAACAATCAACAATATCTTCATCACCATTAAATCGTATATCAACAAATGATCGTCCATCATCATTTTGTTGTTTTGCTAATAATCCACCATATACATATTGTCTTGATTGTGAAACATCTTTATGTGAAAAATGTGCATTAACACATCCAAAAATTCTTAGTTTTAAAGATCATCGACAACAATTATTAACTTCACAATTTAATAATAGTCGATCTACTATTGGACAACAATCACCATTATCCAATACTGGTATGCTTTGTTTTTTTTTATTATTGTTAATCATCAGCTTATTTTTTTGTTTTTCTTAGTTCGTTTACCACAACAATCTTCATTAGATTTTTCTTTAAATCGTTCACCATCATTAAATAATTCTTCAAATGATTTTTCATCATTATTTGGTTCAGTTTTTTCTCAACTTTCATTAAATAATACAAATAATGAAAATTTAACAATTAATAATTCATCTTTATCTTCATCAACAACAATTTTTTGTCATGAACATTCGAATTTGAAAGCATCATATTATTGTGATATATGTTCACATGCATATTGTCATGAATGTCAAATACATCATGCTCAACAACATACATTATCATCATTACAAGATACAATTGATAGTGCACGACAATTAACAAAACAATTTTTAATTGAGTCACAAACATTATTATATCATTTAGATGAATCCTTAAAACAATCAACACGTACAATTGAAAATATTTCAATAAAAAGTTCCACTATTGAAAATGAAATACGTACGATGATTAAATATTTTCTTGATATACTTTCACAACGACAAGATTTTCTATTAAAAAATATTGATAAAATACAAACAATTAAAACACAAACATTACAAAAACAAATCAATGAAATTAATCAAGTTATTAAACAATTACATTTAACTATTCTTGGTAAGTTAACGAAAAAAAAAAATAAACAACAATAAATTTAGAGGTTGTTCATTTATACCAGAGACGTCATTGACACGAGAAACGTTTGAAAAACATTATCGCGACAGCGACAGATTTTTCAGTGGCCATGAACATCTCTAGTCTAGACTCTAAACATATGATGTTTTTTCTATTTTGTTTTTCGTATCTATTAGATTGTAATGAATGTTTAAAAAATGGTAACGATGCTGATCTTATTCGTACACGTAATCGTCTATGGAATGAAATAATTAAAATGAAACAAACATTATTATTATATTTAAAACCAATTGAAGATGATTATATACAATTTCAAGGTTCAACAACAACAATAAATAAATCATTAATAAATTATGGTCAATTAATAACATCAACTTATCCATCATTATGTGAATTATATGGTGATTCACTTTATAATACAATACGAAATCGTTTAAATGTATTAAATTTACAAACACGTAATCATTTAGGTGAATTACGTACAACAGGTGGTGATAATATTCAATGTTGTTTAATTGATACAGGTAATAATCAAACAGTACCATGTGAAATATATGATCGTCAAAATGGACAATATTTTATAACATATATAGCACAAAGTGATAATTTACATATATTAAATGTGTATGTAAATAATTCACCAATAAAAGATAATCCATTTCGTATTGAAATAAAACAAAATCGTAATTATACAACTATTGGTTTAAAATTAGAATTTGAAATTGGTGGTGAAGGTGATGAAGATGGTAAATTATGTCGACCATGGGGTGTGTGTTGTGATAATCAATCAAATATAATTGTTGCTGATCGTTCAAATAATCGCATACAAATATTTAATAAATACGGACAATTTCTTAGAAAATTTGGTACACAAGGAAATCGTCCTGGACAATTTGATCGACCAGCTGGTGTTGCATTTGATAAGCAATTAAATCGTATTATTGTTACAGATAAAGATAATCATCGTATACAAATATTTACATCTATTGGAGAATATATATTTAAATTTGGTGAAAAAGGTACTAAACCCGGTCAATTTAATTATCCATGGGATGTAGCTATATCATCAACATCACAAATTTTAATATCAGATACACGTAATCATCGTATACAATTATTTTCTAAAGATGGTTTATTTTTACGTAAATATGGTTTTGATGGTCCTGTATGGAAACAATTTGATTCACCACGTGGTGTTGTATTTACACATGCTGGTCATATAATTGTATCAGATTTTAATAATCATCGGCTATTATTTTTATCATCAGATTTTCAAAATGCACGTTTTCTTGGTAGTGAAGGTTCATCTAATGGACAATTTCTTCGTCCACAAGGTGTTGATGTTGATGCTGAAGGAAATATTTTAGTTGCTGATTCAAGAAATTATCGTGTACAAATTTTTTCACCACAAGGTATTTTTAAAACAAAATTCGGTACGCAAGGTTCAAGTCCTTTACAAATGGATAGACCTAGTGGATTATGTGTTACACCTGAAGGTCTTGTTCTTGTTGTTGATTTCGGTAATAATCGTATTCTTGCCTTTTAATTATGTATACGATTTCCATTCTCACGGCTTTCACTCAGGTATCTATCTATGTTTTAATATATATACATATATATATATTCACACACTTCAACCCGGTAGTTTAATGCACAAAGAACAGTCTGTTTTCTCTATATCTATCTATCTTTCTTTCTCTCTCTCTCTCTCCAAAAGTTCGAAAACGAAAAAACGAGTTATCTTTTTCTTTCTAACTCATTCTATGAGTGAGGCATAATTAAAAACAGTAGCAGGAATAATACAGTGTATTTATACTTGTGTATATATTCAATCTTCTTTGTTGTTGTTTATAATTGTTGTTTTCTGTCAAGTTTCTTCTTCTAATATCTTTCATTTATATTATTATTATCTTTTTTCCCCTTTTTTTCTGAGCACAGTGTGCTTCTATGAAACAAAAAAAAAGAATTTTCTTTTTTTTTCCTATAGCTTCAAGTTGCTAAAACTATCTACCGAATTACATATATACACAAAAAAAAGGCTTCACATTTATTATATTCACTCAGGATTGTTTCTCTCAGGTTGAACAGTACTGACTTTCTTCTTCTTTTGTTTTAACAAAAATAAAAACAAATGCCTCAGGATTATTTTTTGCTCTGCTACTAATGGCTACTGTTGATAAATAAATTTTAAAAACTATCGTCTAATAATAACAAAATAAAACGAACAGAGTTCTTTAATGTTTCTTTTTCTTCTTTTTTTAAAAAATATATATATACAATAGCAGTATGCAGATAAATCATAACCACTCAGGTTTTTAACCAAATATTTAATACTAAAATATAAATTAAAAAAAAAGAAACAACACCAAGTGTTTTTTTTTTGGCTAAAATGCTACTACTATTGATTCAATTTTAATTTCGCTTCAGCATTTGTCTCATTCTAAGCTTCTATTTCGTCTTTTTTTTTCTTCGCCTATCTATATATGTGTGTGTGTTTATTGTTGCCTTGTTCTTTTTTTCTTTTTTTGTAAAATAATCTTTTTCTTTTGTTTTCTTGAAATTTGAGTGCAAATCATTAAAAATAAAAGTCGATTTATATTTATTTGTTTAGTAGTTTTGCCTTCAATTCAGGGTCAATATCGAAAACTGATTCTCTAGTCAAGGTTGTATTATTTTGAGTAGTGTTTATGTCTGCATGAAATACATTTACTGTCTTTTCCGGATGAAAACAAAGTTTGACATTGAGAAAAAAAAGAAAAAAAAGGATTGTTTATCGCGTTTGCTCGTTCTTCATCTTCTCTTCTTTTTTTTTTATATAACGACAGAAATAGACATTCGACCTTGTCTGTCTTCCTGTCTGGGTAGTAGTTATTATAATAGATTATGAAACAAACGAGAAAGAACAAGAAAAAACTCTAGGGAAAATGTTTTGTTGCATCTATTCAATGAACAACTTATCTAACGTTTAATCAAGGTCATTGGCAACAAGAAATGAAAAATAAAAAATATTATGTATTATCATAAATTAGATTATTTTTTGTTTATTTCTTAAAAGTAAATTTAAGTAGTACATGATTTTAATTGAATTGTATGATCAGGACAATAACAAGCATATGGTGGTTGAGTACTTGGATTTGAAAAGCAATAACCTGGTGAACAATTGATGGTACAAGTAGCTAAGAAGATACAAAAAAAAAACACAAATAAATTTGTTTTTCGAAACATATTACCTGGTCGAATACTTGTTTCACATGTTTGTCCTGAATAGCCCAAAGGACATGCACAAGTAAAAGAATTACCAACAGGATAGCACTTGCCTGAGTTCAGGCAAGGATTTCTATCGCATGGTGCTAAAATAAAGAAATAGCTTATGAGCGCAGCCATTTCAGAATTGAAATGTAAAACTCACATGTGTTCTTGATCCTTATTATACTAATACAAAATATGTGGCGTAAAAAAATCTATAGCAGACTGTCATTGTTTTTCAAGAGAAATGATGTGTCTTATTTATTTCTACATTTCAAACAGATAATTTTGTCTATTTTTTATTTGCCTTATTACTATTTGCTTGTTATTTTTCGTTTTTCTCGCGTCTGTTGTACATATCCATTATATTTATATTGAGTTGGAATATAATATTATATATATATATCTCGATAAGTTCACAAACATTGATACTGATTACTTCCTAAAGTTAGAATTTGATCACTTTATAGGTTTTTTTAATGTTGGTCATATTATATGACAAATGTAGCAAATTAATGCATTTTACTACACATCATAATTTACATCTTAAGTATAAATTTTTATTTGCACAAAGTCACAGTAACTGCTTCCCGTATTAGAAGACCCGCAATCTTCTATTATGTCCAAATCTACAAAGTTTTCACGGAAGTCTTCTATTGTGTCCTATTTATTTATATCATTTTCAATTAAAAGCGGTTTTTTTAGAAGACCTAAAACAAAAGAGTCTGATGCTTCTAGTCCTCGATGACTAAGGTCTACAATGTAGAGAAGAATACCCACAAAATTTCGACTTGAAACTTACTATTATCTTATGTGACTTCCACAAAAGAAGAATAGAAACATAAGATTCGATTTATTATTGATTCTAATTTCAATTAATTCATTATTTTATTCAGAAGAAAGAAAAATTATTTCTAGTGAACTTATTTCATAATCTAGATTCAACTTACATTGACCTGTAGATACGAATTGACATTGCCGTCCACTGAATGGATAAGAACATTGACAATTATATGTAAATGGACCATCTGTACAAGTACTATTATTTCTGCAAGGCTGTGATGCACATTGAGATACTATTCAGAATTGTCTTATAATTGATTTTAAATTCTATTTAGAAAATTACTACTTATCATATTTTGACATCGATCTCCTGTAAAACCTGATGGACAACTACATATCCAACCAGCTCCACCTGATATTGTCGTACATGTACCTCCATTAGAACATGCCATTGAATTACATAAAGCTTTTACAAGCAAAAGAAAACTTGAAAGAATTAAATTTTAATTACAAAAAACGCACATAATGCTGTTTCACAAATCTGTCCAATAAAACCATTAGGACAAACACATTGATATGAATTTCCAACGAAAGAACATCTTTATAAACGATAATAAACAATCTAATAATAATGTGAGATGAGCCGAAAGTTTCTAACTATTTTTCGCGTATTTATATGCATTAATAATGTGGTTTTGTGTTCTCTTGAATTTATGGTTAGAAATTATTCTGTCATTTTTGCCTATTGAACTATAAGTAAATCTTTACAGATTAAAGGTGATCTCTGCTCTGAAAAATGATACAAGAATAGGCAGCTTTGATTAAACCGATAAAAAATAGCAGAGTTGTGACGAACAACAGTTTTGCGTTAAAAGTTTGTAAAAGAATTTATCGCTTTGTAGAAAGTTATTTTCTGTCTCTTCAAATATATTCGATAAAATTTTGTAGCCGCCTGTCTTGAACAAGTTCTATTTGAAGCTTTTTCCGCCAAAGAAAAAAATTGTGAAGACTTTTTAAGATTCGCAGAAAAATTCTAAACATATAATCTGAAAAAACATAAAATTCTAACTCTCATACATTACCAATGCAGTTAAACATACGAAATTTGTCTAGAGACTTTCGACCTTTGCCTTTATCATTTTTAATTCTTATAAAACTTACTGGCCACCATTTAAACAAATTGATGGATTATTAATGCAATTAATTGTTGCTTAATCAAATGAAGAAAGATTTAATTAAAAAGAAAAAACAATGAAAATCTCATTTTACGATTCATAGCCGTTTCACAACTTAATCCTGTATATCCTGGCCTACATTGACAAGTAAATGCATCTGCTCCAACTGGTACACATCTATCAAAAAACAAATATAAACATACTATCTGAAATTACTTTCTCTTTGCTTGCATTCCACTATTTTGACAATATTGTGGATTAACAGTACATGGATTTACTTCTTAAAAAAAAAAAGCATTTCAATAAAATAACAAGTTCATCTTTAAAAACAAAAAGATACCATTTGTAGGGATTTCACATCTGTTTCCTGTATATAGTCCGGGACAAACACAACCGAATCCCGATTGAGTTAAATAACAACTACATACAATTCATTTAAGTTTATAGTTTGATTATTTATTTCAGATTACTTGCCTTCCACTATTCCAACATGGATTAGGTTGACAGACATCTACAATATTAGATATACAAAGAATTATTCACTAATACACTTCCATATTAGCGTTCAATCCAAGGGGGAAACAACTGATTTATGATTTTGTGATTTAAGATGAGTTAAGTTGATTTAAGGTGATTTAAGGTGATTTAAAGATGATTTAAGATCATCTAAAATCAATTTTTCAAGTGATTTA